CGGGCTAGAGTGAGCGGAGGCCGGCGGGATTGAGAACGAGAATAGAAACATATTTTATATAATAAAAGTTGTGTGGACAAGCCTTAACTTTTATAAAGAATATCTCTTTGGGTTTGAGACTTTAGTCTTTGCAAATTTAGGGTTCTTATCTATTCACGAACAGCTTGTAACACTCCAAAGAGAAAGGAAAACTTGAAATTGCATCATATGACCCCTTTAATGAATTAAGATCAGTATGTTCATAGACAGCTAACAGTTATAAACCACTTGGCCTTGCCGAGTAGCTGGTCATATCTCAGATATACCTTAGCCTGCAGTCTGAATCTCACTCGTAATCCCCTCTTGCTCTCTCCTGTAATCATTCTATTTAAAGAACAGTACCTACATAAAACAGGTCAAGCTGATTCTATGATGCGCTTCGTAATCTTCCTGGCCTCAACATGCGGCAGGGAAATATCATTATATAATATTATGTAACCCAAATGCCTAATCATTTTAAGTAACAAGGCATTCCTAAACTTGTTTAATGTTTTAGAAGGTGACGGCATTACTGGCAATTCAATATCGACTTCGCATCAGACTTGAGTTATTGTCTTGCATGGGCTAATGACTAGCAATAAATAAATAAAAGCATATTGATGCAATGATTCTCATATTGTGAGAAAACATCTGACACTCCGTTTTAGAAGCCATTTACTATTTAGTTTCATAGAGCTTGACTTTTTTTTTTATGGCATAATGTCAAATTTATTTTAAAGTTTATTCTTACCAAGAATAACCCACTTAGAAAAGAAGAAACATTTAAAGCAACTAACCATAGATTGTTTTTAGGAGTCATTCAGGGGTAGGAGTTGTATAAAATTAGTGGAAAATTAGAAATATAACCAAATATTTTGCATCAAACCAAACGGAATATGCAGTTTTGTTTGTTGATATCTAAAGTATTTGCAAAGATGCTAAGTGGCTCAAACTAACAAACAAAAACAAAAAAAAAGAAAAAGAAAACAAATGAACTTTGACAAAACATCAATTAGGTTATTGTTTCTGAACAGTATACTGTACGGAATAACTGGATTATATTATATATTACACATGTATTTAGCCTAAATGTGCAGAACACATAATATCCCACAATGCATTGCATCCAGCCAGTGATATTTTGGTTATTATTTATATAAAATTATTCATTAATTTATTGAAATGGCTTTTGTTTTTATATTTTCAGTTTTCATTTTAATTTTACTTTCAGTTTTAGTAATTGTTTGTGATTTTGTCATTTTTATTAGATTTTTTTTCCTTGTTTAGTTAATTTTTTTTAAATTTTATTTAGCACATTTTATGATTTTATATTAGATTATTTTTATTTCAGTTTTAGTCATTTTAGTACCCCAGCTTAAACTTGTGTGTTTTATTATATTTTATATGATTTATAATTTCAGCTATATTTCTATTAAAGAATGTTTTTTTTTAGATGACTGTATTTGTGAGATACAACTGAACATTTTACATTTTTCTAGTTTTCATCTAATTTTATTTTATCTTTATTTCAATTACTGAAAACAATTTTAATAGTTTTAGTTCAATCTCGTTGGAGCTTAAACGTATGGCCTGTGGCCAAGCCAATTGTATCCTCTCACTGCTGTTACCAACCTTATAGAGGCAGAGGTCAATGACCTGTGTGCAGATCTCTCTCAGATCATCACAGACCTGCAGACGGTTGCGCACAAATGCACACAGCTCCTCGTTACCGATGGCGTCCCAGACGCCATCACACGCTACCACCAGGAACTCATCTTCTGGGCTTCGCTCCAGCTCGTACACCTCTGGTTCAGGAGACACCAGCTGTTCGGTCTGAGTCCTCCATTCCACCTCCTTAAAGTTGAAGTCGCCAAGAGCGCGGGACACGGCCAGCGAGCCGTTGATACGCTGCAGGGTGACAGAGCCGCCAGCGTTCTGGATGCGCTCTTTCTCACGTGGGTTGACAGGTTTGTGGTCCTCTGTGTAGAAGACCACCTGGCCATCGCGGCAAAGGAAGGTCCGTGAATCACCACAGTTGATGAAGTAGATGTTTCGTGGAGAGATCATAACAGCGGCTGCTGTCGATCCGCTGTGGTCCCAGCTCTCATTGCGGGCCAGGGTGTGCATGTGACGATCTATGTTAAGGAAGCCATCTCTGATACCGTCTTTGACCTGGTCTACATCCTCATCCACCGTCACACAGCCTGATTAAACAATCATATAACAGGGTCAAGCACAGTGACATAAGGCCTTTCTATCTGCCCAGAAACCTGCCTTTCAACCTACTTGAGGAACATTTCCATTACTTCAGATTAATACATTACACCTCAGAGGGTTTTTTGGATCCCTTTTTAAAAATATAAAGGCAGCTGATATTTTATATATTGTATATATAAAGACTTATTTATACAGTGAAAGACTAATATATTATAGTTCTAAATATGTGTAAAATATTATCTGAAATCTTATCAATCAATAGAACAAAATTATTTGTGATCGATCCCATAATTTCAAAATAAAGTGCTAAGAAATCTGAATGAAACTATAACAAATAACTTATTGACTATTTATTATTATTACTTTTTATTTAATTTATTTTCTTTTTTACAGTTATATACTTTTTACACTTTTTCATTGACCTTTTTTCCATGGACCCCAACCTTTATATTACATTTTGAATTTCTGGTCCATCGTGCCAACCTGCAACCATTGAGGTGTGCAAAGGGTATTTATTTATTACTAATAGTAGCTGATTTTGTGTAGATAAATGTTTTAAAGTTATTTTAATTAAAATATCCAAAATAAAATTATTTATTTAAAATAATTTAATTCATAAATTAATAATTATTTAAATAACTATGTAAAATTTATTAAAGTTTCATTTGTTGTAAAATCTCTGAGTAATGTATTTTAAAAGGGGGTAATTCAAATAAAAAATACTTCATGGGTTATTTTAATGGTGTAACATGTTCATCCTTGTTAAATTCAATCAGACAGACATAAAGAGGATGTTGATCTGAGATGGCAGAGATGAGCCACACACACACACACACACACACACACACACAGTGGCATTCTGAGTCTATTGGCTGCAGCAGAGAATGAGAGAGCGAGTGAACCTGGGAGGGGCCGCCTGATGGAGAGAGGGGAGGGTGAGAGAAAGAGAAACAGCAGTGCATTTAAGGAGAGAGGGAGGGAGGGGTGCATGAGGAGCACAGAGTGTGAGAGAGCTGAAAAGAGAGGGAGCGATTTAGCAGAGGAGTGCCACAGCACTGAGGAGAGGGGGGACTCCAGACTGGATGGGCCCAGCAGTGCCTTGATGGAGCATGGGTCAGGTTTTAGGGTTCTCCCACTGCAGTGAGTCCTTCCTTTGTCTCTATATTTCTCTCTGTATGCCGCTGATGTGTTTGTATTCTTTTGTATTGTGTCTGATGCATCATCTCGGTTGCTTGTTGGCTCCAGCACTCGTTCACCCGTCTGTTTTGCTGGATTCTGCTGATGTTGCAGTGTGTACTAGCTCTGTTCCTATAATAATGCAGCATCTGTATGAGACTTGTGCTGTTTACAAATGTATTTGAGGGAAAAACGGTTGTCATTAGTAATAATCTGGCATGATTTGGTGTAACAATTGCTACAATTGGTTTGTTTTTGTCTAATTTATCCTACAGAATGTGAGTGTAAACATTGAGTACTGCTGATTACAGCAAATTATATTCTTGTTTACACAGAAAAACTATGTATTTTTTGTTGTTAAAAATGGTTCTTTTAAAAACTATTCACTGAAAGGTTCTTTGGGACCCCAAAATGTGTTCAATTACACAGATGATCAAACGAGGGCCTGTGATGACCTTTGATTTGGCCCACCATGCTATATCACAAGAAGAGGGGAAAAACAAACAAAAAATGGCATTGAAGTATAGCATATTAAAATTAAAGATTTAAATTTGTTTAACATTTTTTGTGTTTTTATAAGTGAAAAAATCATGTAAACAAAATTATTTTGTTCCATTATTAAAAAAAATATATATATAATATATATTTTTTAAATATAGTTGGATATAATGCAACATTTACCTTTGGCCCACAGCCCTCAATCAATTTTGAAAAGTACTTCTATTGTATCTATTGCATGTTCTATTAGATCGCTATGAAACCCCCTTTTGGAATCTTTATTTTTAAGAGTGTATATGCAGGTATGTAAATATAATATAATAAGGCACTAATCACATGTTTTTACAGACCAGACATGAAATACAACACTCATATTTGTACAATATGTGACAGAGAGCTGAAAAGGAAACCTCTGACTTAAAGATCTGAATAAAGCTTTGTTCCTCATCTTGTTTCACTCATCCCATTGAGCAAAAATGGAGGCTCAGAGGCTTTTATCACAGGTCTCTTTTATGGATGCCCATAATATTCAAATAAACATGAGCTGCATAAGCTATGGTCTGCTTTGCAGTTTATTCTCAGCAGGAACTGCACTCTTAAAGGAAAGGTCTGTATGACCAACAATACAGTTTGTTTTGTTTTTATGTGGCATTTAAGGGCAGCTTTATCTGAAACAGTCAATACCACAGTGTAGGACATGGTGTGGACAGAAATCAGGAAATAATGGGCAATACTGTAGTCATTTTTTTATTCTTCAACTTACATTGTTCACTTGTATATGTTTATGTATTTAACAGTTCATCATGACGACATAAAACGTCACTGTACAATTTCCACATTTTTCCTAAAATTACTACAAAATTTGTGCCATGTTCTTGCTGTCTATCCAGATATATATATATATATATATATGCACACACAGTATGTATATATATAACTCTAAGACAACAAAATTTCAAGTGATTCTCTTAAATTTAGCTTCATTTATTGCTCTGTCCTTTCAGAGGATTTTGGAACAGTGAGCTCAACACCTGACTCCACTCCTCCCTGCTCAGATGGTAATATTTTCATATACAGTATATACACATATTCAAATATATGAGTACACATATACACAATATATGAGTCCTTCAGTTATCATAAACAAATATTCAAATAGTCTTTCAGTTATCTTTGCATTTTTTCCTGATATCAACATCTATTATAGCCCCATAAGGCTATCACATAGCCCTAAACATACACCATATTTGCTCAGGTGGAAATGAGGAGTCTGACTTCCCAGAACTGCAGACAGCCAGGGAATGGTCTGACGACGATGAAGGCCTGGAGGATGATGACGCATGTCTCAGCAGCTCTTCCGTATGGGGCACGCCACGTCAGAACTCCTTTGAGCTCACCTTCTCCTACATTGCCTCTGTCAGCACTTCATTAGTCAATAAGTAAAACAGATCCTAGGGATATGGTTTCTCTTGTTCACGAGAAGCACAGGCCTCCCACGTTAACACAAATGCTCAAATTTTACTGGAGAATACAGTTTCCATCGCCATGGTAACACACTCCAGGGGCTGAAACATAATGGGCTGATGCCACTGAGTAGATTCCTGGCCAGTCTGTCTTCATTATTCCACACAGAGCAGTAAAAGCAGAGTCATGCTGCCTGTGTGTGCTGAACAGGTCAGAGCAATTACAGTTGCCATGTGCTTCCAGCGTGGAGGTTAGGAGGGCGGTGGCAAAATGGATTCTCATGTGATTTGGTGCACTGAAGAATATTCACTGTAAAGAGACATCTGTGTCCAAAACGTACATTACTGAGAGAATTCATGTTATCAGTACAGAAATTGTCATCATGCAGAACAACAGATATAGTCTGAAATAGTGTAGGGAAAACAGCCTAAAATACATCATTCACCATGGAAAATAATAATAATAATAATAATAATAATAATAATAATAATAAAACAATTTACTAGTAAATAGGTCTTAAAGAAGAAAATAAAATAAATAATGTTAAAAACTTCTTAATGCATATTTTTGTGTTGCTGCATTTTAATGTTTAAATATAAATAAGGTAAAAACAAACTGTAAGACATAAAAACACTTCATCATCTCTAATTTGTCAGAACTGATCACATGTAAAGTATGTACAGTGTATTTGTGAGTGAGTGTATTTGTCAGTCTAACTGCCTCTGTCTTCTTTAATGGGGCGGGCACAATTGTGCAGATTTATTTTTGGGTTGTTGGACCGGGGGGTTGCTGACAGAGCAGATCCAGCCAAAAACAGCTTGAGGGGTTTTCAGAGAAGATCAGGGACATAGACACAGGCGAGAGAGGGATCGGCCCATGAAGACTCCAAAATTACCAGTAAAGGTGAGGGAGCAGGGAATACACACAAACTGGGGCTTTCAGAGTATGACTGTCTCCATAGAGGATCATGTGAGCTGAGAGAACTTAGAGGGTTAGGTCAACTTTTATTCCTGTCTGAACCACATAGCAAAGAGCTGAGAGTTTAAGCTGTCATTTGAGTGGAGTCTACTGTTTTCATTATTTTTGATTATATAAGTAAGAGATATGTGTGGTATCTCATAATATGAGGCAATGCGTGTTTGTGTAGGAGATGGAGAATGAATGAAAACAACTTCATAGTAGGCTACATGTCTAGGTGTTAATCTCAGTTTTTATTTACTATATATTTAATTGTCTAGCTCTCTGAAATACTTGATTGGTTAATTGCAGAATTCACTAGTCAAATATTATATTATAGATCTACATAACTGTGCTACTTTCATATGTATCTTCATGTATCTCATATCAATATTTCATATCCATTTGTTTATTTAATTATTTGGTAGCTGTGTAATAAGTGGGATAATGTAGTCAGTCATTACCACAAATTAAAACCCTTCAGGATGATACTAATCACTTTGTCTGGGCAGTGATTTAGTTATAATGACCAGCTGACTGTACACTCTAAAAAATGCTGGGTTAAATACAACCCAGTGCTGGGTCAAAACAGCCCAAATTGCTGGGTTTGTCCCTATTTTACCCAGCACTTGGTTGTATTTAACCCAGCATTTTTTAGAGTGTATATTATTCAACAAATAAACATGCTTTTGTTGCTAACATTATAAAAAATTTGAAATTCAGTAACTTTCATTCAATCTGAAAGTACACAATTTGTTTCTTTAAGAAACTAGTTTAAAATGTTATTAGCTTTGCGTTTGTTTATATTGCCTGAGCTGAGTAAGCTTGCTAAAGCTAACTGCGTCAAATAAGTCAGCTGGGCCACCTGGCATAACAATAGACAGTTTTGTCTAAAGCTAGAAGCGTGTTATTACGTTTAGGTTATAAATAGTCCATCCACCTGCTGCTGAGCTGAGTCCACCATTCAGAGTTGCACAACAGACATGAATGGCATTAGCGCTGAGGTAATTCTGAATGGATTAGCCAAAGTATTAGCCTGTAAGCTATTGCTTTGCTTGAGTCCCTTTAGACAGGGTACAGAATGATTTCCTAGTGAATTAAACTGGCTTTATAACATTGATGAGTGCTTGTTGTGATTGAGAAGTATAGCTGTTCTCATATACAGGTTATAGTTTGAGTGCTGTCAGCAGGTGCTTTAAAGAGACCACTTTAAATTCTTAGTTTCTCATCCTTCTTACACAGACTAAAAATAGCCGAGGTCAGCCCAAAAGACTCCTTGCCATTTCGTCTCCCTGTCATTGATAACTTAAACCTACCCTCTGACTCATTAACTGTAGCCTCGACGTTTCTGTCCTTTCTTAGAAGTTTTGATTTACATTTATCTATATTGATTCTTACAGTGCTTACAAAGCATCACTATTGTAACATTCCATTTCGGCATTTGTTAAAAAATAGAGTTCTAAACAAAGGTTTGGGAGGAGCTAGTTAATCTAGGGTTTCCCGCGTCCTGGGAAAATGGCACATATGGTCACCCTAAATTAATCTAATCTTGCCAATCTAATCTTGCCAATCGTTATGCAAGAACATATCCTATAAGCAGCTGCTTAACTCACTACCATGTCACCTCATCTGCTGCCTTACATCTGTTCATTCATTATTTTTTGTTTATTAAGTTATCATCAACCGCTATTTATATTTCTGTGAACTTTATATTTTAAGATTTAGGATTCTATTCAAAGGTTTGTCTCCATCCGTTTGTTTCAGATCTCTTATAGACGATCTTGACAATCTTGTTCAAAAAGTAAAAATTTAATTAATTTTCCCTATAGGGTAGTTGATTTTTAACGATAACTTCTAAACCCTCAAAGACAGAACTACGGTGAGCTACAAGGTTTTTAATTGATGGTATATGCATCCATTGAAGCCATTAAC